TGTGGTTTCCTGGACACCCTCAGCAAGCACAGGGAGCTCCTCCAAGAAAGTTCAGGTACCACCCAAAAACATCACAGGGACAAAGATAACAAACTTCCTCAGACTGCACAGTCACACCAAATAAGAGGAACTCCCAAAAATTAGAGAACATTGGAACTTTAATATAAACAGAGGTCAATTTTGTTTATTTTTATTAGAATAATAGGAAGTTGTTATTTTTAATATTTAATCTATGTCAACATCACCTTTGGTGAACTTCCATGCCAGTATTGCATTAAGTGCAGCTTTCCTGTTTAGCAATCTCTTGTAAGTTAACTAAATGCCTTGCAAAAATCATTTCAAAAGTGGCTTGCAAAGTATTAAAGACAAAAGATGAGCATTAAACAGATGACATCTTCTACAAATCCATTGTAATCCGCTGGTTAAGGTTTTATATTTCTGATGATAAATTATTCAAGTTCTTTTATGATTAAGATTAAACATTAGGATTAGTACTCTCTGTTACGGATCACATCTATTTTCATTATTTCTCCCAACCCATGTTAGCAAAGCAAACAGCTCTAAGGAACGGCTGTCAGAGAGATGCCAATGCTGAAGCAACACCACTCCATCCTTCAGCATCAGCACCACACTTCAGGGGAAGGCTGCCCCACACCAGCATGCCTGCCACATCTCCACAATGCACTGACATAATGCCGCTTCCAGCTCCCTCCCTGGCAGCTGTTTAACCTCCTTCACGTGAGAGAGCACATGCCTGCAGCAAGATTTGCACAACCCCAGAAAAGAAAACACTGCCATCTATCAGGTCTGAATCAGACCCTCATACAATTGGCTTTAAGGTCCAAAAGATGTCCATGAGATCTGTCTATACAATCTCCTTTTCTAATTGCACGTGCAGAGGATGAAAATGACAAGTGATGTTGCTAGCCCTGGAGAGATCAAACAGGGAAATGGGTTTGGAGTGACATGAGAGTTCTAACTCTGGCCGATGCCACTGTTCTTCTCAGTCACAGTAAAAACACCTGGACATGGAAGTCCCTGAGCCCAGCTGTTGCTATTCCCATACAAAGCCCACATGCAGTTTTTCCCACCAGTGACCCAGCACTCAGACAAAAGCAGGCAGTATTCAGCTCCTGGAGGTCAGAAACTGGTTAGCAAAATGCAGCAAGACTGTCCTTGCTGCAGATGAGTTTTGTACTTCCATACCTGAGGCTTGCTCTCCATGTGAGTTTCTGAATCAGCATCTATTCTTTTAAGGACAGACTGCAGTAACCAGGCTCATCGTCGTAAACACAGAGAAATGCTAGCAATAACAGCCAACATTCGAATAGCTTCTAAATCCTATGTTTTGCAATCCAAAACCACTGAGACACTTCTGTTATGCAGGCATCATCTCCAAGAAGGTGAAGGGGCTGAATCCACAGCTTCCAGATGCCTAACACAGACCGCCCACGACAACAGCTGTGACAGAAAATGAGTGGTCAGTGGTAAGACACACAGGTGGCCCCACATTGGGCAGCTCACAGAACAAAACGCACGCATTGCCAGTTGGCTGAGCATGTGCCAGTGTTGCAATGCCAGGCATCAGCCTCAGTTTCTGTTCTTCCCCTACGAGCACAGCCTGGTTCTCCCCCAGCAGCTCAGCAGCACTCTGTCCCACTACATGGAGCCTCTGCGTGCAGCATTAAAGAGGCAGCACCAACTGCAATCCCTCTGCGCTTCTGATGGAGCTTTTAATGGGTTACCAAGAGCTTCTGAGCAGAGCTGATGAGTGTTACAGACATCTGATCCACCACATTCAATCTAAAAAAAAAAAAAAATAAATAAAGATGTAGCTGAAAGGAAGAGACTTGGCTCTGTTATCAGTGAGCCAGCAGCTACTCTAACCTCTGACTGGGGCAGCATCACACACCTTCTCTTTCTTTGACACTGGTGACTTGGTAACTAGACATGAGAACATGGTTCACTGACAAAGGTCTGACAGACGTCAAAAGCAGCACAAGCCAAGGCAAAAACTGTGCAATCTGCCTCCCATGAGGTCCCTTCACCTCCACCCTTCTCTTTCTCTGGTTTTACTGCTCAAAAAGCACAGTAAAAATCCCCTGACTGTTCTCAGATTGAACACTCAGCAGGAAACAACATCAGGTCATGGAGCAGAGGAACTGTAGCTCTGTTTTAGAGGATAACATATAAGGGCCACAGGAGGTTCAAACAGCTCAGCTGAGCAGTACAGACACAGCAGCATTCAAGCAGGCTGCACAACCACAGGCTGCATGCTAATGTCCAACCCGCTCCGGCAGCTCATGCCTCTGAGATCCCTGAGCCACTGCCTCACAAGTACAGGGAGAATCAGCTTGTATTTCTGTGAGGTCCAAGATCCTACAATGTACCAAACACACCAGTATGCTGACACATGCTATCTTGGCAGAACTCACAACTCAGAGCTCAGCAGACTCCAAGTCACTCTCATAAAGTTAGCAGCCTCTGAAACTTCAGCATTAAGTTATGCCTGGCATTCTTCACAACCGTAGGTGCCAACCACAAGCAACTTGCAGAATTTCTATTTATTACATTGTTTAGAACAATTTCTGAAATTTTCACTGAATGATTCTTTCCGTAAGAAACCACCTCCTCTAATCTAAGAGGCTTTTCATCAAACCCCACACAACCTCACTAAGACAGTCCAGCCTTGACCTTGCAGAAAGCAATGGTACCAGAAGGGCTGGCTTAGCAACTACGGGTTTGATCCAGCAGCAGTTCCCCCCATTTTCAGAGTGAAAGCAGCACAGGGCAGAAACACACCACTGGTAAGGGCAGTGTGCAGCACAGTGCAGTGCAGGTGCCCTGAGTGTGCAGCAGGGATGCAGACAGGAGGCTCCTCTTAGTTGGGAAATGGTTCCAGTATGCACACATTGCACGTATTAAGCTCCCGTTCCAAGTGTACATTATAAGTACTCCAAGATCTAAAACTGTATTTCATGGTTTTAAATAAAGAACTGAATATGGATCTTAACGATTCTCAAACAGCCCTAAACAAGGAAGACAGAACATTTTGATACTCAAAGGCACACCACTATGGTTTTTTTCATCATAAATAAAAATAAAGCTGATGATGGTCTTTGCAAGTGGCATTAGACTTCTAACCAAAGTTGATTCTACCAGTTAGCTATCCAAATAATACTGTGTAATATCAGGAGGACACCCTACTGGTTCATTAAAACAAAACTAAATCTATTTCTATCATTTTTATCCACTCTAAGTAGGGCAGGAAACCACTTGCAACAGTTCATATGGAAATTATTTATAGCTTTTCAAGCTCAAGTGAAAATGGGTCAGTTCAGAAGCAATTCATCCATCTATAACAAAGACATGAAGCAGGAATCTGGTACAGCTAAGCAAGGCCTGAGTCTCTCATGGAGCTTGAATGGTACGGACCCAGAAGAACCTCTTAAAATCCATTCCATTTGGAAGCACATCTCCCCATGCTGTTAGAGCATTGCCTCTGCATGCACAACTGAAACAGGCACTGGAGCTCTCAAGCACATGAGAACACCCATCATGCCCTTCCCATCCAACACAGCAACACTGAGACACCCGTCACACCCTTCCAATACAGCACACCATTACACTGGGACAGTCATCTCACCCTTCTAACCCAGCACAACTACACCAGGAGATGCATCACACCCATCAGATCCAACACAGCTACACGAGGACAGTCATCACACCTTTCTGATTCAACACAGCAACACCAGGAGAGTCATCCCAGCCTTCCAGTGCAACACAAGTACACTCAGACATCCATCACGCATTTCCAATCCAACATAGCTACACTAGGACAGCCACCAAGTCCTTTCAATCCAACACATATACACCAGGACACCCCTCACACCCTTCTAACCCAACGCAGCTACAGCAGGGCAGTCATCTCACCTTCTAATACAACACAGCAGTGTGGGGGTTTCCACTCTGACCCACCGAAGTAGGGCCTGGTACTTTTTCTCTCCCTATGGCGCACACAGAGAACGCGTTGGCAATAAAACAGTTGCCAGAAAAGGAAATTAAAAAGTAACAATGTAGTAGGCCGTGTGAGTAAATACGGACGAAGAACAATCCCTACAGAAGTATCTTTCACCTCAGCTTTTCTGCTGTGTACAGCAGCTCTCATTTTGATACGTTTCACAACGATATGAAACTGTGCAAGGCGTCCCTTTCCCAACGCAATGGAACCCACGAGAGCCTCGAGGCTCGGCTTCCTTCCCGACACCCGCCGCATCCCCGGCGGGGCGGAGACGTGCAGGGGGCGGCAGGAGAGCCGGAGCCCCGTCACCGCTACAGCCTCACCTCGGCGCGGGGCTGCCTTTGTGAGGCGGCAACAAAACAGAGAAGCCCTGACAAAAAAAAAAATAAAGCATCTAAAACCGGATGAATTTCGAACTATGTCATTATGTAACCAAAACATCAGCTGGAAGAGCCGACCACGAGGCGTCGGACTCCCGCGGTGCAGCGGTCTCCCGGTCGCTCTGCGGGGCGGCGGGGACAGAAGAGGAGCGCCGGAAGCACGAACCCGGCCCCCGATCCCTGCGGGCCGCCCCCCGCCCGCCCCGAACACCGCGGGCGCCCACGGCCTCCCGCCCCCTCGCACACCTGGGCAAATCCCGAAGAACGACACAACGAGGGGCTATTGACGCGACGAACCGCCCGTGGCGATCACCGGCGCGCGGCGAGCACAGAAGCGCAAAGCTGCGCTCGCTCCTCGCCGCCGCGCTGAGGCGAACTTCCCCTCAGCACCGCACCGCACCGCCCGAGCGGGGCCGCCCCGAAACCCTCCCAGCTCAGCCCCGGCTCCCTCGCTCCGAGCGGGGCCCAGCAGCGGGCAGGGAGCGGCGGCGGCGCTGCCGGGCGGCGCCGGGAGCCTCGCACAAAGAACGCGGGGGCACCGCGACCGCGGACACGAGCGGGGAAGTGAGCGCGGGATGGGGACGGCCCCGCGGCCTCACCTGGGACATCTGCGGGCGCAAGTTGATCTCCTTGAGGTTGATGGAGTGGCTGCGCAGGTTGTTGAGCAGCTGGCACAGCAGCACGCCGTCGCGCAGCGTCTGCGCCAGGTCAAAGACCTGGGCCGTGTCCCAGGTGACCCGATGGTTGGGCGGTAGCACCTTGCAGCTGATCAGCCACTGCCCGCACTGCTTCCACGGCTCCATCGCCGCCACGCTGCGGCCGCGGCGGCCCCCGCTGTGCCCTCCGCCGCCGCGGCCGGCTCGGCCCGCTTGGCGCAGCCCCGCCCCGGCCCGCCCCGTCAGGCGGGGCCCCACCGCCCCCTCGCGGGAGCTCAGGTGCGTCCGCGCGCGGTTCCGTGCCGGGTCCGGCTGTGTGCAGCCCCCGGGAGCGCGCCGGGTAGAGCAGCCGCGAGGCGCGGGGGGCGGCAGGTGCCGCTCAGCAGCTCCAGCAGCGTTGCTTTACCAAGCTCTGCCGCGCGCTGCCTTGTGCCCGTTTCTATTTTGTACCTACCTTACATCATATTTAAAACAAAATAGCGCGACGAGCACTCGTGTAACTCCATTAAAGTTAATAAAAATGACTTAAACCACCATACTTTC